CTTTCCCTAGTGTACCATGGATTCTAGCATCACTGGGAAGAGAACCTGCCTGTTCTGACTTCCAGTATTTCAGTCTGACTGCTCAAGTATGCTTCTCCTTTGAAAAAGATTTCCAGTGTTACTTGGTATCGGCTTTATTACTCAGAGGTTTGCTTTGTTTTGTGAATACTTGATGTATTATTATCCCACATTATTCCTTTTTCAGTGTTATGCCTTCTGTTTTTTTGATAGGTTGATTGAGATAGCAGGAAACAGATTCCCTACCTACTTTGATTCAGATGAAAAGCTGTTCTGCATGAGCCATAGCATTCACCTGTATCGAGAGCTGACCTGTGGCAGTGTACTGAAGAGGTACTTTTCCAGAGTTTAAAAAAAGAACATTTTGACTGGATTATCTATTAACAATATTTGGTTTATATCAAAGTTTTATGAAGAGTAATTCATTTATTTGAGGCCTTTTTAGGTTGATAACAGCATGGTCTCCAACAAAGTAAAATTGCTACAGAAAGACTGGCTTTGCTGTTCTCATTACATAGTATGTGACTAATCCGTGTTATGTTTTCTCATTTCTGATAGGCAATGTCCATATGGTCTGATCCCTGTAAGCTTTAAAGGAGAGTGTTCATGTGACAGGTCTTGTCTTGGATTGTGGAGAGACCATAGTAGGAGAGTTACGTTTTCCTTGAAATAGGAGTTTGCTCCTCCAAAGTAATTTACATCCAGAAAGACTGGGGCCCCTCCAGCAGTGGGAAGGAGGAGTTGTTTCACAGTTATCAGCCTGAACGCTATTGTTGGCAGTGTTGTATTGTCATATTGTTACCTTATGTTAATTTGTGAAGACATTTTGCAATGAAAATTAAGTTATATTTTAGCATAATTTTGTGTATTTTGTGTTAGTGAGAGAATTATTCTAAGAATAGGCTTTTTCTTCTAGTGCAGCTTTATCAGAAAACAGCTAGTAGCCTATTACCAACAGATTAGGTTTGGCATACTGTCTTCAGAAGTATATGGACATGGTTTTGACCTTCTGCACATACAGACACCAAGGATTCTGGTGTTGGCAATGGGATGCTGCTACCAGGAGCAAAAAGGCAAAGTTTCAATGTCCACTTAACTTGGTGTCTGCCATTCAGGGGTTGTACATCATAGTGTTGCTAGCTAGAGGTTCATGAAATCATAGAATGGTTTGGGTTGGAAGGGACCTTAAAGAACATCTCCTTCCAACCTGCCTTGGGTTATATGGCCTGCTAGAGCCTCAGATTCCTTTCCAAATCTCTTCAATACATGCAGATGTTATTGGAGGTGGTGTGCGAGGGGTGAAAGAGACGGGTTGACTTTTAACTTAAAGTAAACCTTTAATTTAAACAATTTCAGGGTTATAAGATGATTCTATTGTGTAAACAATGTTATCAATGGCTGGGTTTTTTCCTTGTTTTTTCTTTTTCAGGATTATGTCTTTGGAAGAGGAAATTATTTCAAAGAAAGTTAAACTCATAATAATTGACTCTGTTGCTTCGGTTGTCAGAAAGGAGTTTGACACTAAACTTCAAGGCAACCTGGCAGAGAGAAGTAACTTTTTGGCTAGAGGAGCATCAATGTTGAAGTACTTGGCAGAGGAGTTCTCAATACCAGTAAGTTCTTCCTCCTTTCTTAAGTTTTTGCTTTACAGGATCAAGCAATAAAATGACAGGAAGATGAAGACCAGAAAAAGCTTCTATCAGGAATCTTCAAAGCAGGTACCAGCTGGAAAATGACTGGGGAATGGGGGAACAGTAACTGTTCTCTCTTCTTCCATATTCATAGGAAAGTATTTATTAGTAAGTGGCATCCAGTAAAAGTAGTTTAGCGTTCATGTTAGTTGAGAGAGAAATAATGTCTGCATTTCAGTGAAGAGCTAAAACTAAAACACATTATGACCAGAATTGTTCTTGAAATTTAGCTGTTGAGCTTATAAAAATTATTTGTAAAATCTGGTCTTCTAGTTGTTAGTAGTGGAGAAAATGTGTGAAACTGGCCAGACATCTCCATGGAAAAGCATTCTAGAAGTGGCAGTTGCAAAACCAAACTGCTTTCAGCATTCTTTTAAATGTCAAATTGAGACTGAAGATGAAACTTGCTTTGTAAATCCCTAAAGCTGGTTGAATTACACCACTGGCTCTCCTTTATACTCTTGTCTGGGTTGTGTTCTTAGATCTGTGAAGAGAACCTTTGTTATTTATGATAAGCATGTTGGTTATCATTACTACTAGCAAATGTATACTAATATTTTTGATTTTTTTTTCTTTAAATTGTTCTTCTGAGAATAGCTTAGGAGAGACTTTCATCTCTCACTTGTGATTTATAGTGCAAATGAGAGAGAAACCTTATGTAACTATGCTCTAATGCTTTTATTTGCCATGCTAAATAAGTTAACAGTAGTCAAGAAGCCCATAATTTCCACAGGTAATATTTTTTCCCCCTTTAGATGTCACATGCTCCATTTAAAAATGAAAAATTCACTTTATCAGTATTGATAATATGACAGCAATTAAAGCTGTCATAATAAGTTTTCACACTCAGTTGTCACATTTTTTAGTGCTTCTCACTCAGTTATGTATTCTACTCTGTAAACTTTATATCCAAGGTTTTAATTTGCTTTGGAAAGCCAAATGTTTAGCTAAATATGAATGTTATTTTTTAGGTTGTGTACATTTTTTCTCCTCAATATCAATTTATATGCACAAATTACTTGACATCTGCAATGCCTTTTCTGCTGTCTTTGGTTAAGTGTGTTTAATTGTAGCATCTGAGCTTCCTGCAGTAAAGTGTCTCAAGATTGAAGTACTTCTGTTGGCAAAGAGAACACTCAAACTGTTAATTTCTTTCTTTATAAGCAAGTATTTCCATTTAGCCTCATCCTTGGTTCTATTTTATTCTATTTCCACATACATTGCTTGTCAGCTCTGTGCATTTATTATTGCTGTTCTGATATTTGAAAATATTAGTTTATGGAGAGCTAAATAAATTCCAAAATGGAAGATTTATGAAGGAAATTTGTTTAAATTGGTAATAAATATGTAGAAAGCTTGGAAGAAATGGATAGCTGATTTGTTGTTACAGTATGTAACAATACTGTATGCTGACTTTTCCAAAACTATGGGGATACATCATTAGACTTCCAGGTAAATTTATATCTGGACTGTAAGCTGCTGAAATGCAAACTCTGTTTTTATACTTGGCTATTAAAAAGTGTTTTTAATACCAGTGTTACAGAAACAGTAACTGAATTATCTTTGCAAGTTGTTAAAACCTAGAATAAGAAACTTTTCTCTACTTGCAAAGCTTAGACAACCGGTTCCATTTTGAAGTTTTCCAAAATGAGAAATCTTACATGCTCTACCACTTTGAAACATGTGTTTCTTTAATGAGGATCTAACCTTATCAGAAGAAAACACTGTGGAACTGAGTTACCAGAATTTTACTAGCCATATTTACGCCAGATGTAGTTCAAACAATTTCTAGAGGTGAGAATTCATTGGAAAGTATGGGTCCTTTTCTGTTGAGCTGTTGATATTTTTGTGAAGTGTCTTGTCACTCAAGTTTCAAGAATATTTTGTTTGTATGTGAACTTGAATGCCCTTCCCAACTGCTAATAGAAGGATCCTTATATTTCCACATAATCACACTGAACTCCTGGCCATCTGCTTGCTGCGAAAGGTTAAGGTTTAACTAATCATGTAACTCTCCTTTCAGTGTGGGGTTGCTACTATCTCCCCCACCCCTGGCCTTAACTTTGTTATGAGTAGCTTTGGTGCTTTTTCATGAAGTCTGGATATTTTTCTGGGGAGCAGAAAGTTAAAACAATTAGTGACTGCTTAGAAGACACACAGTCATGCTTCTGAACCTGCAGCACTTCATTAAGGTATTTCATAGCTTCTTGGAGAAATGAATTGTCCTCCTATGAATTCAGTAGGATGAAAACATGCTAGTGTCTTATGCTAATCATTGTGAACATTATCCACAGAAGTATATGTATTTAGAATAATGTAGGTACTGCAGAATTTGCTGACTTTTATTATTATATATGAATTAAAGAAACATTGAATAACCCTAACTTTGTTTTAAGCTGTGGAAAACAGTAGTTAATTTGTTTCCTAAATTGGGAAGATTGCTTCCAAAGCTTTCTTCTAGTAAAGAACTATTCTTGTTCAAGATGTTTCTCTCCCCCTGCATGGAAATTCAGGTTGGTGTTCATGTCCTCATTAAATGGTGAACTTAGCAGCATTAGAAAATTATGCTTATGCTGGTTATTTCAGAACATTTGTTTTCAAACATATTCTCTTTTGGTGCAAAGAGGAATACCTAACCTTGCTCAGTGTGCTTCATCAGTTTAAGTAAATAGTTTGTGAAACAAGCAAAATGTTTCATGTGAAGATTTCCTCCCATGTTCTACTTACCAGTATTTTTGTGCCCAGAATGGAGTCCATAGGTTTGGTTATTTAAATTAAATATTCTAGTGTTACTCTTTGTTTTCTTACAAAAAACTGCTTAAAAAACAAGTGTCAGAATTTCACATACATGTGAACACTACTGTTTGTAAAGTATGATTTGGAATGAATTCTAATTTCTATTATTCTTTAATTAGGAAAACAAAATGGTTAAAGGGAACTTACAGACCAGAATTTGTTCTTTGCCCTCTCTAAAACTTCATAAACCCAGTTTTTGTTGGCAGATTGTTTGTTTCAATTATCCCTTCACTCCACAGTACTGAGCAAAAAATAGTTTTGATAAAAGGGAGTTAATTCAACTGCTAAGTATCATTACAGTGGCAAAGTTAGATGGCTTTGTCTTCTCATGTGGCTGTTAAATTATTCTCGCAAGGCACAACTTTGTTTTAGTTTAAAATGACTGGTTAAAATGTAATTATAACTGTCTTCAGTACTGCTCCCATCTTTGTACTTTTTTACGTGTGTCTGGAGAATATATGTTTCTGCAGTTTATGGCCCAACACTGTGTTCCTTTTGGACTGTCTGTGCTCATAAAATGTTTAATACTGCTGAGGAAAACGAATGAGAAATGGTAGGGCAATGTTTCCTGTTTTCATGTGGTGGTGAAGTATAGAAAAGGAGGTAGTCTAGAGTTATATGATACTGGAATTCAGTTTTCTTTTTCTTTTAATGTATTCCCTCCATTGCTTTTTCCATTTTACAGTGCAAGTGACTTTGCCAAAAACTATAATTCTGCACAAACGCACATATGAAATTATGCAGAAGGAAGGCACCAGTATTAACATATAGGAGAGGGAGTTAAAAGGAATGAGATTTTATTATCAGATTATCTGCTATATGATCGTGGACAGTGCTTGCAGAAAGCAAGACACTTTCCCTGATACCTGCCTTGACTTGAATTTCTGGAAGACTTTACCCAAAATAAATTAGCAGTTTCTTGCTTCTTCTAAGCCTCATTCTCACCACATGTCTGGGTTCCCTTCAGATGATTTACATAATCTTGAAAGTGAGGTGCCCAAAACTGAACCAGTATGCCAGATAAATCTCTACCAATGTTTAGGTATGGAGAAGGATTTCTTCTCATGCCTTGCAGGACATCCTCTTGTTTATGCATCAGAGTATACTGTTTGCTTTGTTTGCAACAGCCTGATGTTGTTTACTTACCATACATTAAAACCCTGGATCTGCATCTGCTGACTTTGTTACTTAGCTAGTTGCTCCTCCTTCTAATGTGTTATTTTTCCTGCCTTGTCAAGATGGTTTTGAATTCTAATCTTATATTCTAGTGTATTTCAAGCACACTATACAATTTTCTTCAATAAGACTTTTACACACTAGCTGCTATGTGTCATTTTCCAATAAACTTTTCATCTACCCTATAATAAATTCATCTAGGTTATATTTCTCTAGTTTAAGTAACATACCTATATAAGATGTTCTATGGCTAAAATAGAAATACAGTATTTGGGTTTTTTCTGCCCTGTCACATTGTTACTCTGCATATGCTATAGAAAACAACAGTATGGCTTTTATGCATTTTTGGAGAGTTTAGGGTTTGGCAAGATATACTGTTCTGACTGTGTGAAAAATTGCCTGAACCTTTAGGCCAAGAATCTATTTGGGACTCTGCAAAGTAGTATTTTTTGAGTATTTCATTCCTTTTGCATGTTTTCTTGTGCCTCCTTCTTGTCCTTTGAATTTTATTTAACCTGTAGATTCTCTAGGAATATTATTACATTTGCATAATGTGTAACTGAAAGTGATTCTAGTCTCTAGACAAGATAGCAATACAAAGAATGGTTGACCAGATTACAAGTTGTTGGAAAAATCTTACCTGTATGAGCTCAGCATAGACTAATTAGTGGTTTGATTTCCAGATTCTCTAGAGTTTGTTTGCTTTATGGTTACTCAGCCCCAGGGCTTCTGGGAGTAAAGAGGACCTGCTCTGCAATTGTTACTCCTAAGTAATATTGTACCAGCCCCCTGAGGTATAAGGGATGGGGATAAGAGGAAATTAATGCATATGTCTGTTACAGTACAAATGTGCCCAGAGATCAAAAGTAAAATCTTATTTGCTTGGAAACTGATTGTAGTAGAGATGGTTGTATTGCTTCCCTCTTGGTGTGTAAGGGACTGCTTTGTGA